GCCCAAATTTGTTTACAAAAACGTAATGCAATAATAGCATATTGACTACTATATTAAAACGCATGAAAAATAGACTTACGTTAATTTTTAATGTATAAAAATTAATTTCGTTTTTTTTGTGCCCAAATTTGTTTACAAAAACGTAATGCAATAATAGCATATTGACTACTATTGTATACTTTCGGAAAATATTTGAGCCGCTCCAAATCTCTTACATATTCTTCCTTTATTCTTTCACAATGTTGCGTTTTAATCATATTTTTCATAATTTTATACACTCACATATAGTAAATTGTTTAGGCCTAGACTAGGCTATACCTCGGCTTGGCTATTACTATATTATTTAAATATACAATTTTGATAAATAAGATTATTTTAACATTGGAAATTTAATTGTAAATATAATGACGTTAACGAATAAATAACAATAATTAAAACGTGTACATAGTATCACTACTACAATAATAATATTAATATTTTTCAATTTTATAATCAATTTTATATAGCCGGGATTAACCTAGGCTACTATGGCTAACGACAGGTACGCTTTCTCCAATAAAGGCCTTTTCTATGAATGGGTTGACGGCCGTACGAAACACGAATTCCTGAAGACCGAACCCAGTACCGTTACGATTTTAATCGTGCAGGAAATATCCTCAAAATGTATCTTGGAAAGACGTTTTTCCAAGATAACGTATCTTGGAATTCCGTCTTTCCAAGATAATTTATCTTGGAATTCCGTCTTTCCAAGATACGTTATCTTGGAATTCCGTCTTTCCAAGATACGTTATCTTTGAATTCCATCTTTCTAAGATACTCATCTTGGAATTCCGTCTTTCCAAGATCAATTATCTTGGAATTCCGTCTTTCCAAGATACGTTATCTTGGAATTCCGTCTTTCCAAAATACGTTATCTCGGAAAGACGTCTTTCCGAGATAAATTATCTCGGAAAGACGTCTTAATAAGTGTTTATTCCATGTTTCCAAGATAATTATCTTGGAAACTCGGAAACTCAGAAGGTCACTTTAAGCTTCCGTAAAGACATGTTTACAAGATATATTTTTTAAAATACAAACTTTAAAAAAAATATTATTATAAACAGTACAAATTGATAATAATTAAAATTGTAATTATTTAACTTAATTTAATATTTAAATACCTCCATTATATAATTTAACCATGTCATAGTATTTTAAAAGAATATAAAAGATTTACCATAGTAAAAAAGGTATTAAAAATTAATTATTACATTTTTCATAAATAATTACATTATTCGTAAAATTGTTAAAATTCAGTTTTTTACTGCAAGAGCAATTATATTTGAATAAAATATCCTTATGAATGTACGAAATACACAAATTTTAATATAGCACCAAAAGCAAAGTTATAAAGCAATAAGCTCCCTATTCCTCTAATTCAACTATATATATATATATATATATATATAATATATATAT